TATATAATATATAAGCAGATTATAGTGATAGCATTTTGTCAATTAGTTAAAATAAAATATCTGTAACTATAGTTGCACCAGTATAATTAGCAAATTATAGATCATTTTTATAATCTAGATTATAGAAAAAGATGCCAAATAGTGCAAATTCAAGACAAGTTTTTGTGATTGTATAAATTTATAGAACTAGAAAAACTAAAATCTATTTGAAAAAATCTAAATAAAAAGGTAATACAGATTTTTGATAATACTATTGTAAAAACTAAATCTAGAAAATAAATTTAATATAGAAAAACTAGACAAACAAAAATCTTTAAATAAGAGATATTACTAATCAAATTGTTAGATCAAACTAAAAAAAAGAATATTAGACTAAACTTGATATACTAGAAACAAATCACAGTTCTTCTGAGCTATTTGAAATAGTAGTCTAAGAACAAAACAAAAATATACTAAAGTACTAGGAATATGCTATAAAGCAGATGCTAGAATATAAATAAACTTTATAAAGACTAGTCTTGTTAACAAAAACTAAATATAAGTAATTAATTAACAGAAAAGCATTTTGATATTTATAATCAAATTATGTATTCTAAAATAAATAAATATTTTAACAAAGATACTAAAAAAAGAGACTATATATTGAGTTAAACAGCACTTAGATGTATAAAAACTTTGAAGTTACTTATCAGATATAGTATAAGATCAAAGTATTTAAATAAATAATCTTTTAGCAGATTACAGATATGACAGCTAGTATAAAGTCTTCAGATAAATTACTTAAATAAGCAACTAAAAGTTGTATAAGTAGCTAGTTATATACTTATCTTTGTATAAGTTATATATAAATATATAATTAAAAATACAATAAAGAAGAGGATGATGATCTTAGTGTAGTGGTTAGGTTGTCATTCTCCAAGCAGTAGGTCTAATGTTCAATTTCTATTGATGCCAGATTTTGGAAAAATAGACCTATTCTGGCAAACTTATTCATGATCTAGAGTTTGTAGATCCTGTAATTCTGGTTATACCAAGACTAACTTTGAAAGTATGCAATGTTACATGAATAAATCTAAAAAGTATATACTTGGATTAGAAGCCTGCTTGGAAATTCTGAATGAAGAGGTAGTACAACTTTTAACAGTACTACCTGTAAAGATCTTGATCTGCTGAAGAAAACCTAGAGCAGATAATCTGTACAGACAAGAACCTCTAGGTAGGAGGTCTATCAACCTAGCTACTGGTTGATTTGGACATAAAGTTACATCATGCAGGACTAACTGGATTGGTAGTATAGGAAGACTTGCAAGAATAGACGAGGTAACAGTAAGGTTATAAAAGGAAGATACTGAGGTTGTATGAACTTCACAAGGGTTGTAAACTAGATTTAGCTGTAATTTGGGATACAGAAGTCTCTAGTAATGATGTCTTGAGGATAATCTGCATGAAATAAGGCAGGATCCTAAGGATATGAATAAGCATCTAGAACTTCTCAACTGACATCATATAATGGAGATGTTCTAGTGATAACAGTAAGGATTGCAGTACAGAGAGTTTAAATAGATAACATCTGTAATTGGATTGCAGATATGGCAGCTAGTGTAGAACCTATATATAGGCAGACTACTTAAATTAGATACCAAAAGTGTACATATGGCTAGATGTACTCTCTAATGTAAAATAGCTTCTCTAAGGTAATTGGACTGTGAGTTACTGTGTCCTACAATACTGAATAAAAAAGTCCTAGTCTTCAAAAGACTAGTTTAAATATATAAAAAAAAAAAAAAAAAAAAAATACAATAAAGATAATAATTACTATTAAGATTGGTTTTAGTAAAAGCAAAAAAAATATTTATTTAATATATTTTTTTAAAAATTAAATATAAAAAAAAAATTACAAAAATTTGTAACTAATTATATATAAAAATAATTAATATTATATTTTATTCTTAAATTAAGCATTAAAAATGCATATATAATTAGTTATAACCTTTTATATAAGAAAGTTTTTGAAGGTTTTTGTATTTATATAAATTTAAATAAAACTTATTTTTTAAAAACAGAAATTTTAATTATAAAAAAAAATATATATATTAATATAATATTAATCTAATTTGTATAAGTTTATATTATATTCTATATAAAAAAAATAAAAAAAAAGTTTAGACCTTTAGAGTCAATAGTATAGCAGTTATATTTTAAAATTACAAATTGCAAGGTTACCAGTTCAAATCCTAGTGACAGTAATTGTAAAAGTGTATTTATAAAAATAGAGAACTGCAACTCTGTGGCACTAGAGACCTAAAACATTATCGAACAAACTTATTTTTAAAAAAGACAAGTAACTTGTGATTGAGAAGCCACTTAGTGATAAACACTAGTTAGAACCTGATTTGGAATAACTAAAGCTATAAAACATAATGTGAAGCTAAAAGTCTAATAATAAGAAATACTACATAAACTCATGACAATGGCCAGTTTTGAACAGAGCTTGATGAAACCTTCAAATCTTGACAAAAGTCAGTGTGACAAATTACTTCTAGAAAGACAATGATCAAACTAGGAAGGTTGAAGTCTAGTAGTAAAAGAATATTGAGAACATTATTTGAAAATATAAATAGATATATGAAAAATCTTGGCAAGATCATTAAAGAATAAAAAAAAAAGTTTAAAACTATTTAGTAATATGTAAATATTATAAAAATAATTAATAAAATATAAAAGATCTTTTATTTAAACAGATTTATTAAATAAAGTTTAGTTAAAAACAAACAAAACTTAGTTAAAATAATAGTTTAAAATATATAAACTAAAAAAAAATTTAAAATAAAATATAAAATGATTAAAAGTTAATAAAAAAAACTATTAAAATATTACAAAATATAATCTAATTATTAAAAAAAATAAGAGTTTTTAATTATATAATATAACCAAATTTTTATTAAAATATATAAAAAAAAGATATAAGCCATTGTTTTTTTAAAAAAAATCCAAAAATTAAAATAAAAATTAAAAGAAAAAAATAACCAAAAAGAAAGACAAAACTAATTATAAGAAAGATTTAAGTAATATAAAAAAAATTAAATTATAATTAAAAAAATAAAAAAAAATCAAAAAAATAAAAGTATAAAAAACATAATTTGATTTAATAAAAAATTTTTATTTTTTTTTTGATATTAAAATGACTTCTTTGGTTTTTTGATTTTTATTAATCACTTATTAGTATTGTGGTTCAATAAACTACTACAGGAGAGCATACAATTGACTACACATGTAACTTTTCTATATTACCTATTTAAAAAGTTTGTTTAAAGGTTCATTACTAATTGTTATACCTAACATTCCTGCTTGAATGTTCTAATTTAAACTCTCTGAACCTGTAATCTGTATTAATTCACTAAGAAATATTCAGATGTCTAGATCATTATCTCAATTTTAGACCTAATTTATTCTCAAGGCAAACCTTCCAAAATCTTTTGTATTTATTTTTATAGTTAATCTAAGTATTACTATAGCAGAACTAACATTTGTAGTCAGGACTTAAATATTAAACTGTTGTACCTTTGTAGAGTTCACTTAGACCTTAGTATCTATTTCATAACATAACCCTAGTACTTTAATATATCTTTGCCTTTTTCCCTATCTTTTTACCAAATTCCCAATTCAGATAACCTGTATAAAATTATGACTAGTCTATCTGTATATCAGATCAGCCCAATATTCTTTTCTTTCAGTTTATTCTAATGGTCTAGTTGGTGATATCTTCAAGACTTCCAACCTGAAGGTTCTTGTCTGTTCGATTACTACTACTAGATATTAGACCTTGATATCTGTTTTACTAAGCTAGTCTTTACAGTAAGATTGTCGAAGATTCAACTATCTCTTTACTTGAGTCTTCTCAAATGAACTTCTTGTTACCAATTTCAATAGATTTACATAATCACAAAAACTTATCTAATGTTTGCATTACCTAATTTGACAGTTTGCATTCCTTTGTGTAATTCCAACATTGCACAGATACCCTATGACCTGTCAGCCATGCTGATGCAACTATTATTATAGGTATTCTAACCTAATCATTAGTAACAGTTGCTATAATACAAATATTACATAGGTGATTATTCAAATTTTTACCATTGATGGGATTTGAATATCCAACCTACCACTTGGAAGGTTGACAACCTGACCACTTTACTAGGTCATTACACTTTTAATAAAAAATTTTATTGTAACATTTATATATAAATTTTTAGTATAATTCTCAGATTTGAGTACATCTTTAACCAGTATAACAGATTGCTTTTAAGCATTTATAAAAGCAATTAAAGAATATCAAACCAGTAAATTTAAGTTTAAATATGTGATCTTAATAAAAATTTATAACAAGATTGTCAAAGTAAAGAAAAAAAATATGATATTATCTATAATAAAATTTGAATATTATAAGATTTTATAAAATTTTATTAAAAAATTTTATAAAATCTTATAATACTTAAACTTTTACTAATTAATTTTAACCTTATGTTTGACACTTAATGCTTATAGTGTTCAGCATAAAGTGTTTAGCACTTAGTGCCTATATTAGTGCTCATAGAGCTTGGTACATAGTGCTTGTGCTCATAATAGTGCCTGGTACTTTATGCCTGGCATTTGTGCTCATGCATATAAGAGTGCCCGGCATTTTTATGCCTATAGGCATAGGGTTAGCACGAGGCACCTACGTAGTACCTGACATAATGCTGATATAGGCATTTGCGCTAGTCTAACATCATACCCTAACTACCTCTGTCGCGGATTTCACCCTTTCATATAAAAATTATAAATTGTTCTAGAGAATTACACCGTTATAATGATAACAGAGTCCGATAAAACGAGGGTAGACTATATCATTAACAATCCGATCCGTTCCAGATTCGGATATGTGGGGAAAACCACTTGCTTTCAAGAGCCGAAACTCAGAGAACGTTCACTTGAAACCCTAATCAATCATATGCCAACAAATGTACCAATGTGCAACATTCACGTAATGCATAATTAAATTTCCCCGTTACACATGCTACTTTAAAACAATATAAATTGTGTCAATTTGCATACGCAAATTGAATTATTTTTGTTTTAACGTTAATAACGATAATGCCATTTAATATTAATAAACGTCTTTTTCTATCGCTTTTGTTACTATGTATATTTATTGATTTTGTTTTAACGAGCGAATATTCGGCTAAAAATATATGTAACAAAGAAGGCCACTGTTATCCGAAAGTATTCATTGCAACAAATTATTTCCAAGAAGTCTTAGAAGGACAAGAAATACCTGCAGGTACCTTAGATCCATTTATCATACGATTTGATAGTGTATTTTGCATTTTTTTAAACTTGAAATGTTTTCTACAGGGCTTCATGTGAAAATTGATTTCGTTTCTGGAAAAAAATACGCAAAACTATTAGATCATAATAATAATGAACCATCGGACATTATCATAGTTGATAAAGATGGCTCAATTCATTCGGATCCAGCCCAAATTGAATCATCTGAAGTTGGTACTAATCAAGATTCAGAAGTTCATATACACCACGAAGATTCTTTAGAAACTAATAGCTCATTTCCGGTTATTCCACCTGGACACAAAGAAAATTTTCGCATACCGCATTCAGATAATTTACTTTTTGAAGAATGTATTTTTAAATTAACCACCACATCACAATCTTTACATGACATAATATCTACCTTGGATAGTTTAGAAGATTTAGTTCATGAGTTGGAGTTTGGTATAAAACTCGCTAAAGGCAATGGCCTCATCTCAATTGTTAAACTTTTGGACAACGATTCAAATGAAGTCAAAGAAAAAGCTGCTTTGGTAATTGGTACTACCATGCAGGTAATGAACTTTTATTCTTTTATTAACTTTATTTATTAAATACATTTTAGTTAATAATAAATAAAAATTATTCATAACTAGAACAACCCATTGGCTCAGGATGAAGCATTAAAATTGGATCTCATACCTTACCTTCTAGATTTACTGTCTTCCGAGACAGATATAAAACTTTCTTCTCGTCTTTTATACGCTTTATCCAGTATAGTTCGTGGTAAAAAAGAGTCAATACAGTCTATCAAAGATAATCAAGGATTGTCACGGTTGGCAGTTATATATCAAAAATTAGAAAATAACGAATTCCGTGCCAAATGTGCTTTATTCGTTACCGATTTCATAGATCCAAATATGTTCAATATTGTTCATAAAAAGTTTAATCTTTTCGATCAACATCATCATGATGGCATTATTTCATCATTTGAAAATACCATCGAAACTTGGTGCAATTTGTTTCAGGACACACTATTCGATGATATGGACAATGATAAAGAAATCGATTTTGATACACGTGAAAAATTACTTAGTGGGATATCCATGATTAAGAGTCATTATTCACGTCAGTGCCCTTTACGCAACGGATTTAAACATTGGTTATTAAATCAAATTAATTTGGATGACGATGAATATTTAGAAGATTATTTCCGTTTAGTTAACCAAGTCAAAATTCAATATGGATTAATTTAATCATACATTTTGATAACTATTCTTTTTTTGGATAACGTTAATGATAATAAAATAATGTTTGAAGCACAGTTTATGTAATAAAAAAATCAAGAGAAAAGGTTCTTTTTTATTTATTAATTTATTTGATAAATAATTGTTTTATGATTAAAATTAAATTCTAAACAATATAATGAATATTTCAAACTAATGAATTGTTACAAAAATCAAAGTATTAGAAAATGATAAACATAATTTTAATCTAAAAGATTAGTGACTAAAATTGACTTATAAAACGTTAGTTATTTAAGAAATAATCATAACTAGGCAGTAATAATAAATGATATAGTTATAAATATTTTTATAAAAATATGTACGTATAAATGACAGTATTTTAAATTAATGTTTTTTACTATAAAAAAATTATACAAATTATAATAAAATAATTAGTTATATTACTATTAGTTTTTGTAAATAGTATTTGTTATGTATAATTCTTTAATTTATTATTATTTATAAAAAAAAAGAAAAACATAGTTTGGAAATTAAAAACAATATAATACGTAGAAACTAGCAAGCTTATTCTTAATTTGTAAGTTTTTTTAAATAAATTTGCCTAGAAATTTATTAAAAATATATCTATAATCTATTTTTTTAAAAGTTGGGTTTCTGAGAGAATGGTAATCCTAGTGTAGTGGTTGGATTGTCATCTTCCAAGTGGCAGGTCTAAGGTTCAAATCCCACCTACAACAAAATTTGGAAATTATATTTGCATTATGATAACTGTCTCCTGTTGATCAGTTGGCCTCATGTGGTTGTAACTCAGATACACCAAGTCAGGTTCTATTGACATTGGGAACTCAGAGCATCTATATGAAGTGTAATATTACATATATATAGAAAAAGGTATAACTAATGTTGCTTAAGACTTCAGTGCAAATCTATAATAAGATCACTAGGTGTAGAAGATTAAGAAACTAAGGTAATAGAAACCTACTTAGAAATTCTCAAGTAAAGAGGTAATATAAACTTTTAATAGTACCATCAAATCGTTAAAGCTTATGAAACATCTTTATAAAAATTGAAGTTTAAACTGAATATCAAATATATGTAGAGGAGCATATAACTAATCAGGTTACTAGATTCATCAGAGAAAAAAAATACAGAAGTATACTATACTAGACCATCTGTATTGGTAGTTGAAAGAGACTATTGGTTCTGAGTTGCAGTTAGTAGAAGATGATAAAGAAAATATTAGAAAGATAGATACTGGAGTTTTAGTAAACTTTACAAGAATAGAAATATTGTAATGTAGTAGTTAAACAGGTAACCCTTATAATTACAAGTGTTAGATAACTATAGCATGTTGCATAAAACTAGGTCTGTATATATAAGATATAAAGACTCTAGTAAGTTTTTTATTAAGGATAAAGTAGTTTTAAGAGTAATAACTAGTATTGAAAACTTGGATGAGTGTAGTCTTAAAATGTTCTTGTAATATAAGAAGAATTGCATATGCAAAAGGTTTAAATAGGCAAGACTCCTAGTTGGCTTGCAAGTATGACAACTAGTATAGAACTTATATAGCAATGTATAAGTAAACTATTTAAATTAGGTACCAAAAGTGCATATGTGGCTAGTTGTAACCTTTAATATACAGGTAACTCTTAGAGACATACTATGTCCTATATACTTAAATAAAAATATTACATTCTCAAGGCAAATTTTAATTACAAAAAAAAATAAAATAAAAGTTAAGTCTTATAGCTTAGTTGTTAAGTTTTTATTTATTTACAGACAAGATCAATGATTTGAGTCTAGCTAAAAATAAAATATTCTATAATCAAAAATGGAGTCTATAATCAGATATGAAGCTCTGTAGAAGTTCAAGTAAAAGTATATATTTAATCTAAAAAATTCCTAAAAGGAAACTAATATGGCAGAGTATAGGCACTACTATAGTGAGAAATATAGAAAATATCATCAACATTTGTAAAAAAAATTAGTCTTATCTAATATAGAATCATTTCTAATATTATAAATCCAAATAAGTATAGTTATGAGATTTATTTCCATTCAGTAGAGCTTGCATTAAGAGTAAAGTAACTCTAAGATCCATAATTAAAAATTAAGTTAGTATTATAGAAAAAATATTAAAAATCAGAAATTTTAAATAGAAAACCTACAGATAGGTTTTAGATATAGTAATGAATAGGTAACCTATAGGTAAAGCCTTTAAATAAACAATGATTAAAGTTATATAAATAGCTAATTGTAGTCTTATTAATATGTAAAATATAATATCTTTCTATAATGTAAGTCTTAATAAAAGATTATAAATCATAGATGTTACTTTTTAAACCTAAAAAAAAAACCTATTTTTTTAAAATTTTAAAATATTTAAATAAAATTTTATTTAATAATATTTGAAAATAAAAAATTATTTTTATTTTTTTTTTAATATTAAAGTGAGTACTTGTGACCTAGAATTTTATTGATAGTATATTTGGCTAATAGTTGCATTAAAACTATAGGAGGCAATTATAGAAAGAGTGTACAACTAGCCACTTGTATAACTTTAATTATTGTCTAATTTAAGTAGTTTGCCTAAAGATTCTATACTAGTTGCCATATCTAGAACCTGCCTATAAGTTCCCTATTTAACCATTTTAGTTTTTATATCTATCCACATATCTCTGGCTACCAACAACTCTGATCAATGCCAGTAAAAATATGCTATAAACACTAAGTTTTTAAAGCAATTCATTCATATAAGAAACCTTTGACCTTGTACTAAATCTTCTAGAATTTTTTGTATTCTATTCTTACAGCTGATCCAGTATCACTATAGCTAAGACCAACACTAGCAGTCAGAATATATCATTAAACCACTATGTCTTTGTAAAGTTCACACCAACTCTGATACTAACTTTACAACATATCTCTACTATTTTGGTATTCAATTCAAGTTCTACTAAGCTTTCAAACTAGATAGCCAAAAAAGGCAGGTTATAACTATATACCTTTGGTTTACATATTTGTTAGCATATAACTTTTTTCTCCAAAATAGATTTTGGCAGCCTGGTTGGTTCTATTCAGTCCCTTCTCAAAGAATGGCTCTTTGTTTAGTTTTATGAATTCTAGCTCTATTTCATAGGTCTAGTCTTTACAATAGCACTATGAAGGTTTGGGTTACCTTTCTACTTAGATTTTCCAAGTAAGCTTCTATTTTCCTATTTGGTTTCTGTAATTTATATGACCTAAGAACTTATCTTAGGTTCACACTGCCTGATACCAGTTTGTGTTTCTTCATACAGCATTGCATAAATGCTTAGACCTTCCAGTTATGCTAGTATGTTACAGATTATAGATGTCTTATTCTAACCAATTATGAAAGACAGTTAATCATAATACAGAAAGAATTGCAAATTTTTACTATCACTAGAATTTGAACTCTAGACCTGTCACTTGAGAGTTGACAACCTATCTACTTCACTAGGTTGCCATATTTTCTAAATAAAAATTATATTATAATAATATTTAATTTTATATTATAAAAAAAATAGATATTACTTATAAGCTAAAAATAAATAAATTTAAAAAAATTTTTAATTAAAAAAATTATTTATAATTTTTTTTTAAATATTAAAAATAAGGTTATGTTTTTAACTTTATTAAAATTCAATTGAAATTTTTATAAAAAAAGTTTGCTTTTAAATTGCATATAATAAATAAAGACTTAGATATATAATTTGTAATCTAAACCTAATTTACAAATTTTTACTAAACTCTTTAACTATATATATATATTTTTTAACTATTTAGTAGCTTTATTAATTATCTTTATTAAGATTCTTATATATATCTCTTGTACAAAATTAGTTTAAATTCTGGTTCAACATTTTCTGACTGCTTCTATAAGTTGTTTAAGAGTAGTCTATTATACTAATTAAAAATTAAACTGATTAAAAGACTATACCAAGTTAGATATTTGAATTATAAAAGAATAATCTTATTTTTTTTTATAAAACCAATAACCAAATTTAATTATAAACTTTGTATTTTTTTTTATCTTTCTTTTTCTTCTTTTTTATAGTTTGTTTTAATTATTTGTTATATTTTCTTTCTTTTTCTTATATATCAGTTTACTAGCTGTTTTATTTCTTAATATGTTTTTATTTTGTTTTTTTATTTGTAAAACTAATTCTATTTGTCTTTTTTTAGTTGGTTACTACTTTACAATTTTTTTTATATATTTTTAAAAAAACTATTCTATGTTGTATTTGTTTATATAGTTATAAACTCTTTAATTTTTTTAAGAGTTTAGATAAGGCTTTGTAATATTAGTTTAGTTTTTTCTTATATTAGTTTCTTAATATTCTTAAATCTATATTTTGGTTTTTTTCTATTAAATCTCTCTATAAGATTTTTATTAGCTTTAATTTACTTGTTTTCTTATAGGTTTCTTTTAAAAATACTGTTCAAACCAAATTAATAACTAAATTTTTTGTATTAGCTCATATTTTTTTTATGATCTTTTATATTGCTAAGTGTTCTTAATCTTTTTTTTTGTTTTTATTACATAGAATGCAATATGTCTTTTTGTATATATCTGAATATCTTTTACTAAAGTCTTTAGTGCTAATAGTTTTTTGTTAACATATTTAATTAGTGTTGTAATTTTTTTAATTTTTTTTCATATTTTACATCTGATTTCACTTTAACTTTTGATTTTTTTTCATATTATTGATCAGTAATACTCTTCTTTTTTTTCATTTGGCTATAATTTTTAGACAGTTGATATAAATTTTCATTCTAAACTAATTTTAAAATCTAAAATTTCTTTAATAAATTATCTTGTTAGCTTTTTTATAAATGTTTTCTTTTAGCAAAATAATACACTTGAATTTGTATAATAGTATATCTATAATTTTATTTATATTATCTATATTATTCTTTTTTTTACTAGTTTATCTACTTTAATATTCTATTTATTATTACTATATTCTTTTATTTTAACTAATTCTAACTTTAATTTTTTAATTTAAATAACTTTATTATACATTTTTTAAATTATAATTCTTTATTTTATTTTATTGTTTACTTGTTTTTAATTATTTTTTTCTATTAAAACCTAATATTGTTGCTATGCTATTTGTATAAATCTTAATTTTCTTTTTTTTTAGTATTATTAAAAGCATTAGTCAAAAACTAATAATTCTGATTTTGTTAATAATAACTAATTTTAGTTATTTATAGTATTTTTATTTACTATATTTTTTTTTTACATCAATTTGTACTCAGTTTGCTTTTATATAATCAATATTCAAAGCATTTCTTTCTACTAATTTCTTAAATAAACCATCTGTATAAAAGATAAATTTTTTATCTAGTTTTAATTAATTTTTCTAGTTTTTAAAGATAAGAAGTTCTTTTAGCTTTCATTCAACTGCTGTTTTTTAATTAACTCTATATTTAAATTATAATATATTATATCTTTAACTAGAGTTTTATATTTATCTACTCTAATTTTGCTTTTGCTTTGCAAGCCACTTATTATTTTTTGATTTATTTTAAGCAATGACTCTTTCTTTTTTAATGAATCTTAATAAAAAATTTTAAACTTCTTCTTTGTTATTTTATTTTTTACAAGTTAATTTTTTTATATAGCTAAAACTATATTTTTTATATTTTTTAAGAGTTCAGCTTGTTTTGTTTTCTTTAGGCTTTATTTTTTAATACTTTGTAAGTATTTCTTTGACATATTCATAACTATTTTTCTTATTATTAAGTTATTAGTTTCTTTTTCTTTTAATAATTTTAATACTATTTATTTTATTTTTCTGTTATCTTTTAAGCAACTATTGAGAGGTACTTAAAGAACCTTTTTATTTATATTTAATAATATGTGTTTTGGCTTTAATTGTTTATTATTCTTGTTTTCTAATATAGTTTCTTCAATTTTTTTAAACCAGATGACTAGTTTATTTTTGATTAATTTTTTTTTAGTAATTTAAGTAATAATTATAAAATTATTTTTGTTAACTGCTTTATTTATAAGCTAATTTATTAAAGTTATATTAAGTTTTTTTAGTATTGTAATTATCTAAAATGTAAGTTTGTTTTCAAATGCCTTTGTAATTTTTATTTTTTTTACAGTTTCTTTTATGCTTAAATTATTAAAATAGAATTATTTATTTTTAATATGCCAAATTATTTTTTATAAACTACTATATATTTTTAATGCAATTTTGTGCTAATTCTCTTTTTTTTACATTAATAAGCAGAAGATTTTGATTTATTCTGATCCTTGTTAGTATTTCTTTTAGTTTTGTTAAATTAAATTTTGTATATAAACTTGTAATTTGCTTTGTTACAAGTTGATTCTATAGTATATTATAGTTATTTATATTTTGATGTATAATTATACTATTACTTACTATTTTTATAATTTTTAGTTTATATTTAGCTAAATTCATTATAGGACTTTGAATAGCATCTATTGCTTTTTTGAACAACTTTGTAGTTTGGAACATATAAGAATAAGTCAATAAAAATCAAACAAATTATTTTTATTAAAATTTTTTTAAAACTTTAAATAACAATTATTTAATAAAAACTTAATCAAATTTAATAATTTTTTTTTTAAATAAATTTCATGAATTTGTAACATTTATTTTAAAAAAGTTTTATAAAATTTAATAAAGTTTTAGTTAAGTTATCATTGCTTAAAGTTTCAAAAAAATTTACTTAGAAAAAATTTACTTGATTTCTATTGACTTAACTCTATATAATTAACTTAATACTATATACATGTTATTTATATATGATTCTTGTGCATTTGTTATTTTTTTAATATTTAGAAGTTATGTTGTTAAATATACTAATTGTCTAGCTTTTGTCTTAATTTGCCTTTTATTAAGCTTGCTATTAAGCTAAATTTTGTTATTTTTTTTATATATTTATTTATTGCTAAGTTTATCTTTCTGTTTTTTTAGATTCTTTTAGATTTATAATAATTAATTTTGATTTTTTTTTATTTATCTAAATGTTATTTAGTTCAAAAAAATCTTCTTTGATTAGTAATGTTTACTTTATTTTTTTTTTGCTATTTGTTATCTATATTATATTATCTGCAAAAACCAATATTGCTTGTCTTTATCTTGTTTTTGTTAATTATTGTTATATAAAATTAAAACTTCTGTTAAATACAAATAATGTATAGGATATTATCTTAATTCTTATAGAATTAACCAAACTTGTATTGTCAAAGTTTCTGCAGTTATTTCAATACAATTTTTTAGCAAAACTAATTCTAAACATCAACTTAACCTCAATGCAAATTACTTAGATCTTATTTGCTCTATTGCTGTCAAGCATCCAACTTGTATTTTTCCTTTATTTACTATTCTTATTACTAATTCAATCACTTCTAAAATTTTTACCTTAAATGAAGACACTAACAAACTTATATCTATCTCTTACTATAATCATTCTTACTAACAATTATCTTTTTATACTAATGGCTTAGCAATTAATATCAGTACTAACCAATATACAATAGATATTAGTTGAATTCAAGTTGATAATAATAATCAAACTATTAACTTTTTTTTACTAAAATACAATTTTGGCTCTTATTATACAAAGTTAAACTCTTTTTAATTATTACTATAATTATAACAGTTTTGTACAATTCAGTAGCTTATATTTTTACTAATTCTTAATCAGTAATTTTTAAATTTAATAACTTTTAATTTAACTTAACTCATTCTAATAAGCTATTCAAATTCAATTTATAGGCTATTTGGCATACTTTTTAAATATTATTAAATTATACAAACTACAAATTATCTTTTATAAAATATAAACTTATTCAGATAATAATTTTAATAAGTAAACAGACTTTCTTACCAAACAGCATTCATAATTATTACTTTTTTTATTTAATTATACAAATTTTTATAATTCTTATCATATTTTTTAATAAAAGCAACATTATGAAGAACTTTTTACAAAATACTTTATTAAACAAATATATAAAACTTATATATTAGCTATATGGGTATTATAAAATATAATAGTGAGTAGTCATACTTTAATCATAATATTGACTAAAGATTTACTTGGCTTTATTTTAATTACAATTAAAAATTTTTATACAATTTTACTAATTTTTAACTCAATTAACTAAAATCTTTTAAAATCAAAATCCTTCTTAATAAGGTACTAACATACTAATGATTTTATACTATTTACTCAAACCAATATCCAGATACTAGCTGTTTTTATTATAACTTAATTGCAGATCTACATGTGATCAATAGAAATTGTAATTAGAAACTATAGTGCTATGTTTTATAATAAAAAAAACTTAGGTTTAAAATCTTTATTTCTTTTTATAATTAATATGTCAACTATATATATAACTCCAGAAGAACTTATTAAAACTGGTGATATTATTCAAGAGCTTCATTATGGTCTGTATTTATAAGACTAGTAGGTTTTTTCTGATGACAATCTTACCTCTCCTATTCCTATATGTTTGGGATTTGAAATTATAATACAACTTAATAAAAAACCTTTTATTATTTATGTAGTTTGCTATATACATAGCTCTTTACAATCTGGGTATATATGTGAAAGAAGTGAACAAAGCAGTGATATTGTTACAAGTGCTTTTACAGCAATTACATCTGTTTATCAAATGGTTTTTGACACTAAAGCAAAATTTTTAGGTCTTATGTATTTAGGTTTAAATTAGAATAAAACAGCACAAAAATTATTAGAAAATATTACTTTTTATTCTTTTATTATTAAATTAGAAAATATTTTTATTTTTGTTAGATCATTTGATAAAAGTTTATATTCAAACTCAAATAAAGTTGGTTATCATTATATGGCATCATTATTTTATAAATATAAAGCAAAACAATCTGTTTTTTCTTAATATATTTATGACAATTTATATACAATTACAATTTATCAAAATAGCCAAATTATTGCAGAATATAATAATAATTCATCTAATGCTGTTTGGCAACAAACTGGTATTCTAAAATCTATCCTGGGTAATATTTTATTTGCTATAAATTATTCTATAACATTACAAAAATTGAAACAAGCATACAAAATAAAATTTCTTTATCAAATACTTATATCTAATTAATACACATATGCAGATTAGGATAACAAAATAATTATGGAACACCTATTTGAATTACATTTAAACAAAGCAGTTAGTAAACCAATTGAAAAATAGCATTAAGTATTTCAATGTTGGAAACAGCAAAAGAGCAATGTAATTAAACTTTATACTCATATAAGAAAAATATATGGACAAGATTATAAATTCTGAAGTCATGTATTGTGGCCATAGTGTGCAATATTTCATGCTACAGGATGTACCGAAATTACTCTATATAACAAAAAAATTTCAGAAGTAGTTATAAGTAAAGCAAAATCTCTATATAATTAATAATCAATTAATAATAAATTACTATAACAATATTTATTATCATTTATTAATTATTAATATAATGGCATTCTCAAGTACAAAACATTATTAAAATAAAAAAATTTTTTAATTAGTGGAATTCAATAGTCAAAATTAAAAATTTCAACATGTCAAATAGCACAATTTGAATACCATTCGATATGTTGAATTTTTAATTTCAACTAGTGATTGGTTTAATAGTTAACAATTAAGCAAAAATTTTTAAGAAAAAAAATATATAGACCTTTTTTTTAATAATGCACAATTGTTATAATATCTACAAAAAAATTAGGTAGTAAGTTCTGATTATGGTTTAAACATTTATTACATTAATACTTTCTATAGAATTTTGACATAAAATTAAGAAATTATTATTATATAAATATTGATAACAAAAATTTAATATAAAACTGTTTGAAAACCTCATATTAATATCAAAATTTTGAAAAATTATCATGAAGAAAGATTATCTGTTGCCTAGAATAGTGAATTCACTTAATTAACTAAATAATTTTCTACTAATTTAAAATTTCTTTAGCACATTAAACTATTATCTTAAGTTTTCTTCAAATTATAAATTTACCTAAATAATTAAACTATTCTTAATTAGTTTGAGTAATGTCTTAAATTATTGCCATATATTTATTCTGAAATTTTTACTATAGACTACAAATATCTTTTTTTATATATTAAGAGCAATAAATTTTATATATATGCATAATTCTGAATCATGCACATTAATGTGCATGTTTTCAAATTATGCACATTTTATCTTATTGAAAATTTTTTTTATCATGTATGCTTTAATATGCATAATTCAAAAAATATATAAAATGTGCATTCATGCATATAATTCCAAATTATGTGCACTTTATCTCATCTTTAATCAAGAGCAGTTTAGCTAATTTCACTAATACTTATTTCATAGACACAACATTTTACTAACAATCAATTCATCAACATGTTTGTTTTACAAACAGCCAATTTCTAAACAAACTCATTTCATAGACAGCTTATTTCACTAACATTATTATTATTAGAATTATGATTAGGGTTAGATTAGAGTTAGAGGAATTATAAAAAATTAACTTGTTAGTGAAATGAGCTATATATAAAATAAGTTGTCTATGAAATGAGCTTGTCTAGGAATTAGTTGTCTGTGAAATAAACATGTTGGTGAATTGATTGTTAGTGAAATGTTGTGTATACAAAATAATTATTAGGAAATAAAACATATTCAGTTAAGAGTTATATATATACAATTTTAAAATTAAAGATTAATTATTAATAGAATAAAAATATAATATAGATTAAATTTTGAACAATTGTATTTAATTCTGAAAAAGATTGTGATACTCTTAAAAATCTATATAAAGATGGGTTTTTAAATATATCATTGCAAACTTCATCAAGTAAGAAATTATATCACAGGCTTCATTGGATAAAGCACATATATCATTGCAAATTTTTTCAGACAAGATATTTTGGGACTACTTTTGTGACAGCTATAATGTGAATCCTATAGGAATAGATAGCAAAGTTCATATATTGTCAATTATTACAGAAAGCTTTACATATCAAAAATTAATAGATGAATTAAAAGTAAGATAAATTTATATAATCTTAATATTAATAATCTAGTTATTTGGTCAAAACTTATAATAAAAAGTTAGCTTAGACAAATTTTTTATTAAAATTTGAACTAAAAATCCAGATTATTAACCTTTCTATATAAATGCCAAATACAACTTACTCTTATTATAGTAAAGTCTCCAAGCTGAGAAAAAAAATCTTTATTATAGCTTATATTGAGAGAATACTATATGTACTTTACTATATTGAGTTAAAGTTTAATAATTCTAAAATTCAAAAATTTTTTACTATAATAAGAGTTCATATAATATGAGTAAGTTATATAATGTATAACAAATAATCATAATAAATAATAATAATATCATATAATTAGATATTCTCAAATACAATTAACAATGCTTGAAAATTTTCTTGTATTAATAGACCAGGATGTATTGCATTAGAAAAACCTATCATTACCTATTCAAAAATGTCAGTTATCAAAGAAAAAGATTTTGAATTATTCTTTAATGACAAAGATAATATAAATATAAGTTCTTATAAAGTAGATTACCAAACAAATTTACCTGCACTTTATTTAAAAGACCAAAAAAATGTGCTTTGAAAAAAGTTTTCTGCCACTTATTCGGATGGAATGAAGCATACATCTTTTATAACCTATTTACAAAATAGTCATTTTTAATATAGAAAAGATTTAGAAGGATTATGCATGACATATAATGATTATAGATATCAACCTTTTGAAGATTTAATTAGGATAATTAATTCAACTTTTTCTTATAAAACAATACAGATTAGTTAAATATAAAAAATTTTTTTTTACATTAGTATTAACATATAATTTTTGTAAGACAATCTAATCAATAAAGTGGAGTTACTGCATTGTTACCTAAAATGAAATTATGAAAAAGAATTAGTAGTTAATAAGAATAATACAATTAATTATATAAACTGCATTAATCATTGCTTATTATTTGCTTTTGGTGTATGTAAAGATCAACATTTTTCATGATATCCAAAATGTGATAAATTCTTCAATATATTCAAAGATCTAAAAAATAAGCTAGATTCTTTGCATTATATAAAACTTACAGAATGTCAGAAATGATTAACATGTTATTTAGCTCATCAAACCTGTAAAACATATCTAAATACTCAATTTAACTTTATATTATATGGGCTTGATAACTATGAAGTGATTATTGTAGTTGATTATAAGATAGAAATTTTGTTTGCAACAGCTCAAGAAATAAAAAGCCAATTTTTTGGCAAGTGTAAGTGAACACTCCATACTACCTTGGTATTTTAGAAAGATAAAATAATAGTAAAAACTTAGATATTCAGGCCTATGATCATTGGAGCACTAATATCAAACAAGATGCTTGGTTCACTGCATCATGTTTTGAGGCAGTATTTGCAATAATAAATCCTAAACCTTATTGGATTAAAATAATTTCAGACAATGGTGAACACTATCATAACTTGGAACTAATGTCAATTATTAGCTACTGGTATAGTTGATACAATGTAGAAGTATGTGGGTAGATTTTTTTTGAACTTGGCAAAGCCAAAACCACTGTTAACTCTTACTATGCAATAGCAACTAGATTAATATATGTTACAAATCATAATAAAATTGGATTAAAATAAAATTTAGGTTTCTATTTAACTTATTTATACTTGTTTATTACCTTTAATAATTTAAAAAAAAAAAAAACACTTCTAAAATGTCTATTTTATACTATAAAAAATTTCATTTTAATCTGATTTTATTTTAATATGCCATAATACATACTAGTTAATATTAAAACAAATTCATGTCAAATAATATTTTGAATGCTATTCAACTTGTCAACACATAATTTAGATTTTGTTCCAAAATCATATAATTATCAACCAAATATGAATAAAATCAGTTCTGTTCACTTTACTAATACCCATTTTATAAACATAACACTTCACTTACAATCAATTCACTGACATGTTTATTTCATGAACAATCAATTTCTAGACAAGCTTATTTTGTAGACAACTCATTTTACTAACATTATTATTATTAGAATTGTGGTTAGAGTTTAGGATTAAAAAAATAAACTTGTTAGTAAAATAAGCTGTTGGTAAGCACTAGTTGTCTGTGAAAAGTACATGTTAGTGAATTAATTGTAGATAAAATGTTATGTCTATGAAATAGATATTAGTGAAGTGATACATATCTGAATAAAATAGTATTCAAAATATTTATTTTTGCATATTGAATTTTTTTTAATTTGACTGATGAGTATATTTCAGTTGTCATGCTCTACTAATAAATAATGTTAATTATAGATTGCATACACAATTAAAAGTTACATTAGAGTTGAATTTAAACTTACTAATAGAACAAACATTAAGACAGCACTTCAAAATCTAAATAGAATGTCTGTAGTACAAATTGAGCCAAATTGTAATAAAACAATAAAGAAATTAGCATTATCAGAAAATCAAAATGATACAAAAACCAATCAAGAATTATTAAAGTAATTACTTTACCCAAATTATATATAAAAAATTTTTGTGGCAGCTAATGCTGAAATTGGCTAATGCTAAAATTGAAACTCCTATTTAAACTCATAACACCTACTAAAATTCAAATATCCTCTTTTATTAATACTAACCCTAAATTCTAACCAAATTAT